ACCTCATGGTTTTGCTCTATGAAAGTCCCTTGAAAAGGCAGAGTCCTTGGCAATCTGCTTGAGACCCCTTCCATCTCTTTCAGACAGACAATTATTTCCCCAATAAATATGTTCTGCTCTTTAAAAAAAGGGGTGGATATTTCCCCTTGCTTCAAGCACACTTATCTGACTGGTCTTGCTCCTTTTTTCTCCCTTCCTTTCTTTTTTTCTTTGTTTCTCTCTCTCTCTCTCTCTCTCTCTCTCTCTCTCTCTCTCTCTCTCTCTCTTCTTTCTTTCTTTTTTGTTTTTTTTGAGACAGGGTCTCACTCTGCAGCTCAGGCTGGCCTTTGGGCTCACTGTGTAGCCCAGGATGATCTCTAACTTGCAACGATCCTCCTGCCTTAGCCTCCTAAGTGCTGGGATTACAGGAGTGCACCACCATGCCCCGCTTGTTTTTGCTACTTTTTAAAGCAGTTCTGGAAGTCATCTTTCATGAATGTCTTTATAAGATGTGATTAAAAAAAGTACAGTGAATGCTGCTGCCACGTGCCATCCAATGGATAGGGAGTCATAAAAACATTACAGTTCGACCTCCTCCAGCTCATGCACTGGATCTGGTACCATGGTTCCTCCTCAAAATCAAAAGTGATCATGATAGGTGAATGTTTTGAATCGTTTGAGGGCATCAAGGCAGCCACTACAGCACAACTAGAGACACTCATAAAAGGACTTTCAGAACTGCTTCAGAAAGTGACAAGAATAATAGGATGAATGTGATCAAAGCAAGGGGGACATGTTTTGACATTGATTAATGGGCAATTTGTCTTTTGCTGACGTATATATATGTATATACATATATATATAGTGTGTATATATATTTTCAACATTCACATATTTTTTGATCACATCACGTACATACCAAAATTTGGAAATGTAGAAAAAATTTTTTAAAAATGGCAAAATCTCTATTTATAATACACTGTCCCAAAGAAAACACTATTATATTTTAAGGTATTTTCCTTTAGCCATTTTCCCCATACATTTTATATGTAATTTGGATCTTGCTTTTTTTCCCTTGACATAAACATATTCATGTACTTTATCAACTTTTATGCCATATTGAGTAAAGATACAATGACTTATTTAATTATTTTTGCATTCAGCTAAATAATTATTCTATAAATATTTTATTTGATGCCTTAGGCTCTGGAATTAGATGTCTGACAAGGCCCCTTCCTTCATGACGCTTATACAGTGTTCTGGAAGGAGGTGAAGAAGAAAGCACATAATTGGTCCTGTCCATCAGATAACAAATGTGCGCTGTGTTCGCCCTTAATATTTTATGTGTGATAATGTGCTAAAAGCACCAACAGGAAACCAGGCGCTGAGCTCATTTTCACTGTAGTCTCCTGCACTGGCTTTTTCTCCGGCCCTGCATGGCTGGTCCCTCCTCCTTAGAGCTTATCTCAGACATCTCCTCAGGGTAAACCTCCCCGACTTCCATGGCATCACTATCCAATTCTCCTTTAGAACTCCCAGAAGGAACCAGCACTGTTCACGTGATATGAACGTGAACGTCCTTTGTCTCCTAAGACTTATTTCAGACCCCTGACCGTGGGAAGAAGGAATAGAACCATCAAAAGCCTGCGAGCAGGTTGAGTATCAACTTGACCCACTACATCCGTTAGCTTTGGCTGCTGTAATAAAATGTGGCAGGTTGGGTGACTCAGAAATTCATTTGATCACAGTTTGGAGGCTATGAGTCAATGACCGAGGGGCCAGCATATTCATGTCAAGTGAGTGCCAATCACACTGATCAAGGCTCCATCCTCATGCTCTCATTTAACTGTAATTACTGCTTAAGAAGTAATACAGCCATACTGAGGACTGGAGTTTTGGAGGAGGCCAACAAACATAAAGTCCATTAGGTCACACTGACAAAAATGAAGGAGCCAGGGTTTCATGTGAGTCAGGGCCTTGGATGGGGGTGACCAAGGCCTGAGAAAGGGGACTACTGGATCTTGGTAGGTTGTTGGTGTTTATGAGAGCAGTTACAATGACAATACAGAAGTCTGCTCCTTCTGCAGAATCTTTGTGTTGGTTTGGGCCCTCCAGGAATCAGATGTCCCACAACTGTCTGCAAGGGGTAGATGCCGGAAGGAGCCAAAAGAAGCTGGAAGGGCTATTGATGGCAGTGCAGGTTTGCACCTGTGGAAAGGACAGCAGGCAGGAAGGCTTGGTGGGAGAGGGTTAGCTGGCAGTGTGCACCTCTGTCAAAGTGTGGCAGTGCTTTGTGAGGCCTCGAGCCAGTCTCCTGCCGGAAGGGTTCATGTTCTGCAGGAGAAGGCCTGGCCTAGTGTCCCTACTGTGACCAGCCACTTCCCGGAGCTGCCTGTGGGAAGCGTGGCCTCATGGTGACCATGAGGGAGCCAGCACTGCAGCTGGAGCTGCCAGTCCACTAAACTCCAATGCAGGCGACTGTGCCTCGTATTTCCATGGGCGCCACAGCCCCTCAGGTCTGCGCTCTCTCAGACAGATTCTCCGATCCTCTCCTGGGCCTAGGACACTGTCCTCTTGGACTTCCCAGAACACTGTTGGTCACCCCATCAGAACACAGAGCAGGTGGTGGTACTGAGAAGGTGTGATTTGAGGAGCAAGGCTGCTGGGCTTAAATCCTGGCTGCAGCATAGTCTGACTGGCTGTATGACCTAACTAAGCTTCCCAACCTCTCTGTGCCTCAGACTTCATTTCTGTAAAATGGGAAAATTATTTAATCTTCCATGAAATAATGTTCTTTTTAACTGTTTTGTGGGCTGGTGATGAGGATTTAATGTGACACCTTAGAACAACTGCTGGGACATAGTGAACATTGCAGTATCATTTTACAGTTTTGATTTACTTGCAGTTAGATAGCTTTCAATAAAAGTTTGTGGATCATCCAAGTAGGTGCCTCCTTCCAAACTTGCCAGCAATCACAAAAATAAGTAACATGGTCAGGAAGAGCGATTTAATAGCTACAGGTGTGAAATACCCACGTGTATTTATAGCTGCGGAAGTGGCAGTTTGATGGTAAGAGTCAAATGGGACTCTCTACCACCTGAGCTTACTTCGGTCCCAGAAGCTTTTAGCAGACAAGCAAGTTAATAAATGACAACTGACCCTTTATGACTGTTATATGTAGGGGAGCGTTCAGAGTATAGCATCTAAATCCCAGCCTTGGGAGGCTGAAGCAGGAGGATTGCCATGAGTTTGAGGCCAGCCTGAGCCATATAGTGAGAGCATGTCTCAAAACAAAACAAATTAAAATTTAAATTTAAAATTAAATTTAAAAAGCCCCCATAAAACCACAAAACAACAACAACAAACAACCCACCCAAAACAAAACTGAACAAAACCCAGCATCCATGAGTTGGGCAATATTGTCCTTATTTTTTCTTTTGACTGTATTTCCTGGAGTAAAATTTTTATTTTCATCCTGTGACTTAATTTTTATTATTTGATCTAAATGTTGACGCCTCAAGGCCGCCACTGCGCACCCCTCCCTGTGTCCGTGGCGCTGCCACTCTGCCTGTACTGTTCCCATGCACCTGCCTCGGCTGACCAGGTCAGGCATGGTCAGGGCAGGTAGACCACTTCCCAGTCTCAGTACCAGTGTCATCTTTCCTCCTGTAGGTGGCATTGAGGGAGGCAGATTTCCTTTTAAACACTCAGTGCTCAAAGGGCCTGAAGCAGGAGAATGCTTTTTCCTGGGACTCTGGAGCTACTGCTTTTCTGACGAGTGATAGAGCCTCTAAGAGAGACATCCCTAGGAATTCTCATGTGCCTTACACCTGCCCTCAAGGGGCAGGAGATTGAACAGATGCTCTGAGCCCCTCCTCTCTAATGGAACTTTGCTGCTTCTCAAAAGCCAGAGTACAGTGGTCCAACCCTTGCGGCTGGGTTTGGCCAGCTGGTTTGCTTTAGCCAAAAGGACATTAGCACATGTGTAAGTGGAAGCTGGAAAGCACCTGTGCTTTGGGACTTGCCTGATTTTGCTACTAGGAGCCTAATAATGCCGTTCAGTGGAGCCCAGGCTGGTCCCTGGTGGATGAGAGACCATGCGGAGTGGAGATGAGCTGGTGCCACTGAGCCCTTAGATCCACTTCCCCCAGATCTGCCACCAGCTACCACAGAGATGGGCCAGCTGCACAGCCTAACATCGGAAGTGTGAACTAAATCAAGTGGTGTCTTATTTTGGTTTAAAAATCACATTTTGGGGAAGTTAATCATGTGACAATAGGCCGGAAGTCTGTATCTGACAGCTCCAGTATCAGAATCTCCTAGGTTTGTTATGTTTTTTGTCCTTGGGCTCATTTTGTTACTGTTGTTACTGCCACCTTAAATACCTAGTTATTTTATTACTGTGTGTGCCAAATGTAATTTCAAAAAATGGCAGAACACATTTGAGCCTAATGTTTATATCATCTTCCTGTGGAGAAGATGCATTAGGAGTGCTCCATCCATTATGACCACCTTCGTTCCATTTTGGAGACTACCAGTATTCAAAGCTAGACTGTGGCCTCCAGGGTTAATCTATTTCCACTTAACCTTCATGCTTAAAAGGCAACCTTTTAGGGTCCCAGTCGCAGGTAGGAGGAGGGTCACCAACCCCTTTCTCCTGTTCATTATTGGCTTTCACCATCACTTTTTTATTCTATTAGTCCATTCAAGACTAAGAAATCTTATACAGATTTCTTCTTTTAGAATTCATAAATGCTTTAGCTAAACAGCAAGCCCCAAAGTACCTTGTCATTATCATAGCCTAGTTATTTTAAAGTATCTTGCCAGCCCTTGTGATATATATATATATATATAATATATACTATAAAATAACTATATATAATATATATTATAAAATAACTATATATGTATATAGTTATTTTAAAGTATCTTGCCAGCCCTTCATATATATATACATATATGTATATATACGTTATCTGGTTATGTTGCTTATGTTACTCAGGTAGGACTAAAACTTATGATTCTCCTGCCTCACCCTCCAGAGTAGCTGGGACTATAGGTACATGCCACAGTGGCCAGCAAGATTTTAAAAATATACATATTTGTCTAAACCAGGCATTGTGGCACATGCCTGTACTCCCAGCACTTGGGAGGCTGAGACAGAAGTGTCTCTGCAGGTTTGAGGCCAGCCTGGGTACAAAGTGGGAGTTCAAGGCCAGCCTGAACTCAAATAGCTTCTCTCTCTCTCTGTCTCTCTGTCTCTCTGTCTCTCTGTCTCTCTCTGTCTCTCTATCTCTGTCTCTCCCTCTTTCTCAAATCCGGATATATTTGTATCTGCATCTGCATTGGTCTGAATTACCTAGCTCCCATGATTATTGGAAATAGAAATCCCTTACATGAAGTAGCAAATGTCTTTAAAAGTACATACATACATATATATTCACATACATATATACAGCCATATATAAAATTAATGCTATGGTTTGTGTCCCACCAAATTCAGGTGTTGAAGCTTGATCAAGAGTGCGGTAGTTTTATGGGATGAAACTTTTACAAGATGATTATTTCATAAGGGCTGTAGTGACCTTATAAAAGAGCTGCGGTGTTCATCCCTTTAGGCCTTCTGCCTTCCAGTCGGTGAGGAGATAGCACCTGGCTCCATTTGGAAGCAGAGAAGCAGCATCAGCCACTGCTTTTGCTGTTGCTTGATTGTGAACTTTCTAGGCTTCAGGATTGTGAAAGTCCTGATATGTATAAATTACCTAGTGGCATTTTGTTTTCATAGCATGAATGGACTAAGACAGGTGGATTTATGGGAATAGTATGTGAAACTCTAGCCTGAGGAAATAGGATTGAAGTTATAGAAAGGAAGCTCTGCTTTCCAAAGTATGTATAGGTGAGATTGTAATAAAGAGAAACATAAGAACAGTTCTAACAAAATTGCAATGTTTTTATTTATCTCCTGTAACAGTCCAGTACAAGGAGTTTGATCCACTAGCAAAAATTTTTAATTTTTTTTTGTCTTTTTCCTTTTTATGGGTACCAGGGATCGAACTCATGATCGCCTGCTTGCAAGGCAGGTGCTTATGCTGCTGAGCTAAATCCCCAGCCCCCACTAGCAAAATTTTTGCTTCTTGTCACCATAACCTTATGTTCTGCTGGTTTAGACATCTTAGTTCCAGAGACAGGAGGCTTGTACTAGGAAGCACAACAATGGTACCATTGAACTGGAAGCTGAGACTTTCCCCTGGTCATTTGGTCTCCTTATATCTCTAAGGAAACATGCTTAAAAGGAAGTCATAATGTGGTCGGGGTGAATGATCCAGACTATCAAGGGGAAATTGGACTACTACGCCACAAGAGAGGAAAGGAAGAATATCCATGGTGTACAGGAGATCCCTTAGGGTGCCTCCTAGTACCACTATGCCCTGTTATTAAAGTCAGTGGGAAACTACAGCCAGATAATGCAGGAAGAATGATACATGGTTCAGAGTCTTTGGCAATGAAGATATGGGCCACTCCACCAGGGAAAGAAACAAGACCCACTGAGTGCCTGCTGAAAGCCAAGGGAAGAAAAATGGGTAGTAGAAGATACCCTGTTGCCTAGGTGACTGTACCCTAGGGAAAGGGGAATGATCAGACATTTCAGGGACTACTGGACATGGGTTCTGAACCAACAGTGATTCCATGGGATCCAAAGTCTCACTGTGGCCCTCCAGTAAGAATAGGGGCCTATAGGTGATCAATGGAGTTTTAGCGAAGGTCTGACTCATGGTGAGTCCAGTAGGTCCTTGAATCAGTCCAGTGGTCATTTCCTCTGTTCTACAGTATATAATTGAGACAGATGTACTTAGTACTTGACAGATGTACTTAGTACTTGGTTCCCTAACCTGTAATGTGAGAGCTGTTATGACTGGAAAGACCAAATGTCAGCCACAGAGCTGGATGAGGAAGCATGCAGAGGGGGTCCGCACATTGGAGACCAAAGAATTCAGTCCAAGGTGTGGAGCTCACTGCAGTGTTCTGCACAAGTCCATATCAGGAGGCCGATGGGTCTGTGATAGAAGGCTAAAGAGTCTGTGCCAGAAGGTTGAAAGATCCAAGGCGGAAGCCAAAGAATCTGTGCTAGAAGCCAGAAGATGACATCTAAGATGAAGGTGAAGACAGAGTTCCTCTGAAGAACGGAAGCCTGATTGGCCTTCTTCATTTCCCTTTTATACCGTCCAGGTGATGAGTCACCCTAGGATGGGTCCTCTACACCCTAGGGTATGGAATCCCCGAGCCAATTCAGTTAAGTTTCTAAACTTCTCAAGTTGACAAAAGCAATCAGCTACTACACAGTTCTAACAAAATGGCGGTGTATTTGTTTATCCCACATAACAGCCCAGTAGCAAGAAGTTTAAATCTTTGGGAAAGCTCTGCTCTATGAGTTGGTAAGGACCCAGGTTCCTTCTGTCTTGTTGCTCTCTTGTGTCCTAGGATATGGTCTTTATCCTCATGGGTAAATACTTCATTAGTATTCAAACTGGGGAGAATGAGCAAAGAAGAAGAGGGTAACCAGCAATTTTTGTTCTGAGGAGTAGAATCTGAAAGTTGAAAGCACTGCTTCATTTGTGTATTTGTGGTTCATGCCAGTTACTGGTGTAGCCATATCTAGAGATAAGGTAGGACTGGATGTGTCACTTATAAGACTGGAACAGTTCTCAGTCTTCTCATGGGCCCTAGGTAAGAAACATAGAGAATGACATACTCAGGATGGGTTAATGGGACAAGGGGAAAGGACAGTATGACCTCACGTGTGAATGGGCACATGACGTTTCTGTGTGTTGCAAAGGATGAGTTGAAAGGTCTGGGGTAGAATTTTCATTTCTACCGATTTTTCGGATGATGCCAATATTACTGGTCCAGGGATAAGACTTTAAGAACACTGTATGTTGTACCCAACTCTCTTGTATTGGCTTTGCTTGTAAGAGTTCATGAAAGGGCTGTGTATACCATAATAATACAATTGAGTCCAACACTTTCAACTGTGGGATTCCAGAGCCCTCCATCACTGTGGTACTGAGAGGATCATTGTAGTCTAGACTAGGTAAACTTCTTAACATAGATGAAAATGATCAATTTACTGTTTGGTTTTCTAGCACCCAGCTTTTCTTTTCCTTGCTAATTCCAATAGAAAAAAAAAAAAATAGAAAGCCGTTTGCTAGTCCTTCCTTCCTTCTTTCCTTCTTTCCTTCCTTCTTTTTTTTTTAAGACAGGGTTTCGCTATGTAGTTCAGGCTGGCCTTGAACTCACTATGTAGTTCGGGCTGACTTAGAACTCACAGCGATCCTCCTGCCTCAGGCTCTTAAGTGCTGGGATTACAGGGGTACTCCACCAGGTACTTGGTTTAGGTTTTGGTTCTTCAGGATGACATGGAACAGTTTATTTAATTGCTTCACTTTCACTAATTTCAGCAAAGATATTGAATTTTTAAAATGAGGTAACTGAATTCCCATATGTAGTTATAGAATGGAATTTAAAACAAGTACAAATCCATTTAAAAATAATTGTTTCCTGAGGAGATGGCTAAAAAGTCATAAAATCTATGTATAGCCTGCATTTTTGATTACTGACTTCTGCAACTTAGCTAAGATTGAGTTTTTTTAGTTCCAGTTGCATGTTCGTTTAGCAAGCAGCAGGAGGGAAAGTGAGGGGGTGATCCCCAACTTCCCAGTGTTGAAGTGAGCCCCATGCGTGATAACGGAACACTGGGAACAACAGGAAGGACCCCAGCTAAGAAGGAAACAGGGAAGATGGGACAACAGCGACATGAGCGAGTGAGGGTCAGGGAGGTGGTGACCATTCAAGTCAAGTCTCAAGCATCGAGTGGCTCATTCAGTACTGTTCTTATTTTCTTAGTCACCGGGAACTGAATCTAGCAGAGAGAAGCGGGAGTTGCAGCTTCAACAGAAAACTGGTGATGTGATCTGATCATTCTGTCAGAGGTCAAGGCAAAGAGTCTGGATAGAAAAATAAGCCAAGCACCGCAGGCAGGAGACGTTTGGGTAGGACTGTGGCCACTGCTTCACGTTCAGAGGAAGAGTAACAAACTCCACTCCCTTCTGGATGAGCTGGTTGTAAGAGGGACGGGGTGAATTCTCGGTGTGCAGATGCTGCTTCAAACAAGTCGGTACCACTGCCTGTGTTGGCAAAGTGACTCTCCCTGGGACAGACGTCTTTGGGACACCTAGGACAAATGTAGGTTTCGTCTGTTCTTATGCTTTATATGCGTGGGCTAATTCAACACATACTCTTATTTGTATCTATTCTTTATTCCTTGCTGCTCTCTATTATTTATTCCTGTGGTTGCAGGTTGTGCATTCTTGCTGCTGTACAGTGTGGCATATACCACAGTTTATCCATTCTTCTGCGGATGGGCATTCGGGTAGTTTCTAGTTTCACAGCTATTACAAGCCATGCTGCTCTGAACTGTCTCGTATGCAACTTTTGGTGAGCATCCGTTCACATTCTGTTGGCATTTTGCTTTCAGTGTGGAGACAGCTCACTGTCATTAGCTTGCCTAGGTGCTGTTATCAGTGTCAGAGGTCGGGCGGCTCATACACCACACTTACTTCTCACTTTTCTGAAGGGTGGAAGTCTGAGATCCTGATGCCAGCACGGTTAGCTTCCAGTAGGGTTAGGTCCTGGGTTGAGATCATAATCTTATGATGTCTCACACAGTAGAAAGTGGACAAGGAAGTTCCCTGGGGTCCCTTTTATAAGGCACTAATTCCATTTATGGTCTGTTCTCATGATGTGATTTCCTCCCAACAGGCCCCCACCTCTTAATACTGTCATATTTGTGTATGTTGGGATTTCAACATGCATCTGGGGAGAGGACCCAGCCATTTATTTAGGAACTCCCTTGAATCCAGAACTACCTGGTTTTGCTATGAGAAATTAAGAAAGAAAAAAACACCGAGTATCTCTGAAGGGAAAAGCCAGTGGACATTTTCCCATGAGTTGCGCCCTTTACTCACATTGTTTTGTGCACTGTAATTACAAAGCCCATGAGATCTGTTTACTGAAAAAGATATTCAAATCAAGGAGCATTCAGTCTCTCCAGTAGGAAACTTTGAACAAACACAGGACAGACCATAAGCACAGACTTGAAGACCTGATCTAAGAAAAGCAGGACCTTAGCTTCTTAATTCCCTTTATAAAATCTTATAAACCCTTATTCTATGAGGTAGAGTTTCTTCTGGCACTTTAGAGCCAGTAGCCCCTCTCAGGTTTATCTTAAATAAAGCCTGCCCGTGCTACAAGTTTTTCTTCTTTTACGTATTTCCTACAGTCTCTAAGGACAAAACTCAGGTGAGTAGCAAAGTCAGTGCTCCTCTGGAAAACAACATTTGCAACGTGACTCCACCCAAATCTCAGTCCTGTTATATCCTCTCATTTCATCTTCTAGCAAAGGTCCATTCTTACTTCCTTTTTCTTTGATTCCAGCCAAAGTGATCATTTAAAGAACAAATGCAATGTACCACCCAGCTTCCTCACATGGCATTCTTTAAGTTTAAACAAAGCCATTTTGCTGTTCCTGGGGATAAGGTCAAAACCCTCAACACAAACTGTGATCCTTGTATGAGCTGGCCTGCACCCCTGATCTATCCACTGCAGCCACCCTGGCCAACTTCCAGCCCGTCAGCCCAGCCAACACCCTGTGCCACGCGACCTGCACATATCCTGATGTGTGTCTTATAACAACGCCACCCTGCTGACAGTGAACAGACTTCCCTGCCTATGAGAAGTCTTTCCTGAGCCCCCAGATGAAGCCACAGTCATTTGTTATATGTCAGAGCTTCTATTAGTTATTTTTACAGAAATGTTCATGATTGTAATGGTTTAGTTACATAAGTGGTTGTTTAACCATTTCCCGACAGAATGTGAAGGTCTATGAGGACAGAGATGGCCCCTGTGTGGCTGTTGTCCTGTTCCCAGCACCTAGCACAGTTGTTTGCCTTTAACAGAGGCTCAAATAAAGAAATTAGTGACTTGCTGTCATCAGAATCTTCAACTTCATCTCTTCTCTCTTCTGATTGTTCTTTAGTCAGTTTCGCCTAAGATGTTTAGAACATGTTATGGCTTGTGTCTAGACATCCTCCCAGAGCATCGTGTGCTCATAGGTGGGGCTTTTCAGAGGATCTAGGGCAGTGATACTGGGATTGAATTAGTCCACTGATTGAAATTAGCATAGTTCTGGGTATGAGTAATGGATGCCCCAACCTGGCTTCCATCTTGGACCAATCAAAAGGCTTACAGCCTATATAGAGTATGAGGAAGAGAGAGAAGGCAGGTTTGTTCTGCTGCTTGTTGCCTTCTGCCGGCCACACCGTGAACTGTTTGTCCTCTGCCATGTGCCACCCTACCTTGGAACCAGCTGACTATGAATTGAAACTTTTACCAACTGTAAGCTGAAATAAACTTTCCTCCTCTAACTTGTGGGTGTTGGGTATTTTGTCTCAGCAACACAAAAACTAAGAATGCTAATAAAAGTAAGTGTAGTTTGTGCTAATTTGCCCTTGCAGTCTATATTACTGACACAGGAGAAAATGTAACTCCTAACCTGCTAGGTGATAGGTGTGCCGAGTTTGTGCTTCCTGAAATCAAAGAATGAATTCCAAAGGACAAAGAAGGTTAAAAGTAGCAGTTTTATTGAGAGATAGCTCCTGAGAGACAGGAGGAATCCTAGGTTCGGTTACCACAAAACTCCTTTGTTGGGGGTAATTTATACAGTGAAGTCACAATGGGGGTACAATGTGGATCAAACTATAATCAAATTATTAGTATAGCTGATTAGCTAATATTGGTCCAGTAGGGAAGTGGGTCATGTAGCAAGGGCCCATGGAAACAACAAAGGCATTGTGTGGCAGGAATGGGTCCAGATGCTCTGGTCACCCACCTGGGTGACCGGCGCCTGTCTGGACTTCCTAGACCAGGTGTATAATTCCAAGTTACCACTTATCTCTTAGGCATGTAGGTCTGGCCATTGCATCTGTATCTTGAGGCCTGGTCTTCTTTAGATGTGACTGTAGTCAGAATTCTGATGTCTTTGTTCTTTCTGCAGACTTCCTTGAGTCCCTCTCTGATTGTATGTTGATTTGTAACTTAGCTGGCTATTATATTACCAGTTTCAAACAGAAATGATTTTACACAGAAAGGCTCTCAACATCAGTGACCATCAAGGGCACAAAATGAAGCCATCATGAGATATTATTTCACACTCACTAAGATGGCTAGAGTGAAAAAGACAGACCATACCCAGAGCTGGGAGAGAAGTAGAGAAATTGCATCCTCCTGCACTGCTGGAGGGAGTAAAAATAGTGCCACTGTTTTGGGAAATAGTCCAGAAGTTTCTCAGTACTTTAAAGATAGAGTTACCTTATGGTCCAGAAATTCTATTTGTTTTACCCAACAGAAGTACTGTATGTCCACACAAAATTGTATGTGGATTTTCATATCAGCATCATTTGTAATTGTAAAAAAGTATAAACAACCCAAATGTTCACTAACTGATAAATGGATAATTAGAACATGGCATGTCAATATAATGGAATATTATTTGACAATAAAAATACTTATACATGTCACAGCCAGGATAAACTTTGAAAACACTGGGCTAAGCTAGGCATGGTGGTGCATGCCAGCAATCCCAGCAATTTACCACCTTGCAAGACTCTTTCTTAAAAAAATGTTTTCAAGAAAGGACTGGGATATAGCTCAGCGTAAAGACCTTAGGTCCAATCCCCAGTAGAACACACACACACACACACACACACACACACACACACACACACACAGAGAGAGAGACAGAGAGACAGAGAGACAGAGAGACAGAGACAGAGAGACAGAGAGGCAGAGAGATAGAGAGACAGGGAGCTCAAAAGAGGAAAGAGAAAGAAAACATTGTGCTAAGTGTAGGTATGGAGTCACAAAGGACCACATAGTTTGTGATTCCATTTGTATGAAACTCAGTATATAAATAAGCTAACTATGCAAAGGAAAATTTAAAACTCTTTAGAGTTGTAGACTCATTGGACAAGGAAGGCAGACTTGTGGTTGACTGGAATCACTGAAGTTTGGGTAACTGGGGGCTGACTACAAAGGAGCGTATAGTTTCTTTTAGGCATGGTAAACATGACCACATGACCTAAAATTGACTATGCTGCTGCCTATTTCTGTGAATATACTGAAGGCTGTGGATTAGTGAATTGTATACTTTAAAAACTCATATGGTATGTGAATTATATACTTTTATTTTTTTAGGGGAAAAGAGTTCCTTGAGGAAGGCAAATTGAAAGGAAGTACCTCCAAGGTGTTACTTACCACAACTAGTGTAGAAATCACGCAGCCTTGGCATCTGCACACGTGCTTCTTTCTAGTGTCCTCCTGTCTGTGGGTTGTGCACCTCTCGATTCTGCTTTTCTCTTTAATGCCCTGCCCCTGAAGAACTGCATAAGCTCTGGGGAACTAATACTTCTCCCTTTCTGGGACTGTTGAGATTTAACATATGAAACACACGTAATGTAATATGCTTAGCATTGTGCCTGGCAATGATCAAATAGGATTTGTCAATATCCTGACCGAAAACCAGCTAAATTTTTATTGTTACAGGAAAAAACAGAGCCATGCCTCTCTCCATTCACCTTCAACCTATCTCAATCAGGTGTAATAATATAGGTGAACACGAGGGGGCAGCCTGCAGTTGCAATAAAGAAAAATCAGCGTGTCTGAAACAGATCCGAAGCTATTAAAAAGGTCTAGTTGAAAGGAAAGTGAAATGCCTCCCTTTAATAGTATTTTGTAGTATTTGTCCATAGGAGGGAGGTGCTGAGGAATATTGCTTCTGGGGGACAGTGCAGCAGTCCTCAAATTCTCTCTCCACACTCCTGCACCATTTCATTGCATTTTGTTCATTCTATGCACTTGTTCTCATAAAACCAGCGGATTCTTCCGATAAGCGGCTCTGATGGGAGGCATTTGGAAGCCTTCCTAGGTAAGTATTGTCTTACAAAAGTGCTTTAGCACAACATCTGGTCTCTGGGAGGGATAGGAGTGCTCTCAGGTGAGTCCCTAAGGGTGGGGACCATGTCCCACGCCCTTCCTTGAGGCCCAGCAGCTTGAGATACCTGGTATGTCCTAGTCAAGCTAGATGGTGTCTGCTGGCCTCAACTGCTCCATGAGCAGATGTGGGGAAAGAAGGGAAGAATTGTAACCCTTAATGGGGCTCTACAATTAGAACCCCTCTAAAGAATTGTCTTTAGTTATTTTTTTACATAACAGTTGCTCATGCTCATAATGGGTATGCAAGCAAAAAGAATATTTAAAATACTCACAATCCTATCCACTCCCTATTAACTGGGGGAATTCCACAGATTCTTTCCACCTTATGTCAGAGTATAATATGTGTGTGTGTATCAGTACGGTGTTTACATTTATGGCAACATAGAATATAGTGTTCCACTGTATGATGATACTATATTTAACTAATCCCTCTCTCTTCTGAGAATTTGTTTCTAAATTTTTGCTCTTTACAGAGCAGTCTGGTGAATATCCTTGTAGCTAAGTCTTAGCCTGCATTCTTTAAGAGTGCCTTAGGATAAATTCCCAAAGGCAGAATTTCTGGGCAATGGGTAATTTACATTGTCACCAATAGTGATAGTGCCCTTGATCAGATGAAGAGTTTTAATTAAACATCACACCAGAACTCTATAATTTTGTCTCAATACTGTCATCCCTGCTCACAACATTTAGTGAACTCTGTGTTTGATGATCCAGGCTATGAGTCACACAAGAAAATAAAAATCTCTCATCTTGCCTTTGCTCTTTGTTCAGGAAAATCTAATTTACTACAAAAGAATAAAGAAAGCAACCATGGAAGATATTCATATATATGTGCCACAAACATCAGGAAGTTAGATAGGGAAGCCCCATGCTTTCTGGAGTAGTGACATCAGAGAAGTGCTGGGCGTCCAGAGTGCAGACCCCACTGGATGCATACTGATAGAATTATCAAAAACAAAACAAAACAAAACAAAACAAAACACCCCCCCCCACCACCACCCTTGCTCTCCGGGGATATGGCTCTAGTTTGGTTTACAATTTCAAGTGTTTTCTTACATGTGTCATTTCTTAGAGCTTTTTGGAAATTAGAATGAAATTTCTCCATCATCTGAGGATACCTTGTGGGTAACAGCAAGGATAGATTTCTTTCTTGAAGACTTTTAAACTCCTCTTTCTGTCTGTCTTTCAACAAATAAAGCACAATACGTGCATATATGGAAACATCACAGTGAAACTTATTTGTCTGATTAGTTAATTATAATAAAAGAATTTTTAAAATTACAAGATGGTACTTTACTAAACATATTTTTCTTAAAATAGATTATATGAGCTCCTTAATAAACAGCTGAGAAACACGAAGCTTAAAAATGTGTATTATTGTCCATGAAAAAAAGAACAATGTCTGCCCGAGAGGGCTGCTCATAAGTATAAACTATGTGCTTTTTACTGCCTCATCTCTAAATCACAAACCCTTTTTGGCAAAAGAAAAACTTATGCACTAGAAATGCTTTTTGAAAGTAAGGTTTAATGCTGATCCAGAATTATGATTAAAATGATTATTAAAGATGCTATCGATTCTACCATAATGTATAGGAATTATTCACCTGTCCGCTTCTCTTCCTAAAAAACCAAGTAGCTAATAATACCTGGCTGAGCTAAAGAAATAAAATCTATTTTCTTATTAACTCTCACAGAGAAGTCTGCTTAGCTTGCATTTCGAGTGGTCTTCAGTAAAGTCTGTTTTTCTTGCAGTGATCACGTTCCCCAAACATGCTGGGAAATCTGCTGCGGTATTTTGTTTCTCTCTTGTTTTCCTTTAGGGGCAGCCAGCCAATGGGAGCCTCGGGGTGCTGGCAGTTGGAAACCTGTGGGTGACAAAGTCACAGAAAGCAGCAGAGCTTAGCATGGAGCCTGGCTCAGAATAGCCATTTGTGGCGTTTTTCCCTCGAGAGTTGCCCTGGCTCTTCCTTTTTCCCCTTTACTTGTTGCCATGGCACTGGAGCCACATGGGACAGGACGTTACCTTGTGCCACCTGCTCCGCAACATCTGCCGTACCTTGCTGGCCGTCACATCCCAGATCTCCCCTTTCTTTAGGTCTTAAAGACAAGCACAGTAAAGAATCAAGCATTTAAAATTATATTTATTGTGATTTCAGGGTGGAAGAGTAAGAAACACTAGGTCCCCACTGGACTTTGTATTTTTGTGGGGAGGGGTTTAGGAGTGGCTGCTGTGGGCTGGAGGTCAGAGAGGAGAATTGCACTGTTGTTGTTTTGCTAAGTTATATGTTTATTTGGGGAGACTTCATGGGGAGGTAAACTCTCTCTTAAGCCACCCCTTGGCGCTGCCATATTAGGGCATAGATATTCCCAGTGGCTTTTAGCAGTTTACCAAATAAAGCTTTGGGCTGATATTGAAGGTGCTGTAATGTGTGACCTTACCTCTGCTATTCCAGCCTTGCCATCTCTGGCTCATAACAGATCTGCACGGCTGCTATGCATTCTCTTGGTTTAGCTGCTTCTCTGAGCACGGCTGCAGCCCCCAGCTTTGCACAGGTGCAGCCTGACAGCTCTGGCCTTGGCTGCACTGAGAACCACTCCCTTTCTCTGTGATATCTTCTTGTCCTACAGTAAGGAACACAGATATTCTCACCTCTTGATGGCTTTCTGGGCATGCAAGGGGCTTGTCGTGTGATGGGGGTAACTTTTGAAGAGTTGGGGGTGGGAACTGTATGGTATAGGCCTCCTGTATCTCAGGGTGGCAATTCTGAGTTCTGCACAACTTCCCAAGTCCTTGGCAGAATGGAGTCCCAGCTGCCCACGGTAGGGACCAGCTGCTATCACTGTCTTGTGTTAGCTTTTTCTCCTTGCTTGTCTCCTCCCCTAGTCCCTTACTTTTGCTCCCTGGGGTTACTTCCCTAAAGAAATGTCATCTGCTTCCTCTGGGAAACCCAGTCATTTATTTGCATTTTGTATTTCTATTACAGAAGATCACAGGGTAATTTATAAGAACAGAAACTTATTTCTGATAAAGGTCCAGTGTGAAAGCACCTGTGTCTAGAAAGAGCCTCGTGGCTGTGACATCATTCTGAGGTAGGAAGCCCCGGTATGGCAAAGCTGGTTAGGGGACTAAGCATGACCCCCATCCCAGGCACATGAGCCGAATAATTCTCAGGCTCCTGTATGAAGATTTCTCTCGAGAACTCTCGATGAGTGGATGGATAGAAAGGCAAGATGCCATTAAGTGTTTGCTATCATACCTCTTCATGGCAGCCTGCCACGTGTCCCAGGGGGTACTTTTGTTTTAAATTTTTATTTTTCCTGACTTTTACTTGGCCCAAGTTTGCTCTGTAGCACCAGTTTCTAACTTACCCTTCACTTGTAATTTTTCCTACCACAAATAAAAGTAAAACTTTGTCACCGTTTTTGCTTGTTTTGGTCAATTCTTTATTTGAGATGGAAAGAACATGAAAACCAGGTCCAGAAGGAGACCCTGGCATCTCCAAACCTAGTAACCATCCACAGCAGAAGCAGAAGGGCAAGAGGGAAATGGAATAAATGGGTTTGGGGTAGAAGAGGGGCTGAGTTGACAGCTTTATCTGGAACCCACTCTGGCAATGATGACATTCACCTGTAACTGGTAACTTAGAACGAGGTCACTGCACTGAGCAAGCAGCAACTGGTGGGAGTTAAAAACTGGAGGGACACAGAGAGGCTGGAAGCAGAAGCAGTGAGGATAAGAGGGAGGCAGAGAGAATCAGGGCGCTGGTGTCAGGAGAAGCAGAGAGGGCGGCTGAGTCACAGGGACGCGACAGCACCAGGAGCAAGAAGACTCTGAGGCCCGGGGTCCTGAGTGGGGCCCAGGGGAGCTTTCTGTTTTGACTGCACTCCAGACCCCCCACACCTTCTGGCATGGTTGCTTTTATGCTCTCAGAAAGCAAAAAGAAAGATGCACTTCTATTCTCACACATAGCCTAACTCAGGGCAGGGTCGGAGACGCACTACTTGGGTTTACCAGGACTGGGTGAACGTGAGCAAGTAACTGACCATGCCATGCCTCAGTTTCCTTATTGGTAAATCATGCTGATGCTGGTGCTTCCTTCCTAGGGGTAGTATAATGACTGAGTGAGATCATAGATATAAATTGCAGAGCAGAATGAGGCACATTTTATATACTCTATCAGCAGGGCATTCAGTGTCTGCACAGGGTGTGAAATATGGCAACTGAAGAGCGTGAAAGACACTTTGCAAAGGTCTGAGTCAGCCGAAGGACACAACAAAGGATGGTGGGTGCCCTGGGCTAACGTTCCCAGGCTTTGCAAGGTGAGGAGAGAACAGTCACCAGACACCAGCAGTCTTGGAGAGGGGCAGGACAGGTACTGTGGGGCTCCTTCCATCCAATGGTTTCAGGCAGGTGGGGTGCAGGTGATGTTCATTTTCAGGCCTTCTTTTCTCCCTTGCTCTGATTTCGTACCTTGATTGCAAAGGCCAGTTGACTAGGAGGCCAAATATTCAGCTGTCAAAGGGCAAGGAATTTGGTAGATATGAACAGAAGGCAGTTGAGGAAGACCGTCCAGTTGGCTGGTGGTGCCATGGTGGTTGCTCTTATATCAGGCTGAGGCCTTGGATCTCTATTGCCTTGCAAAGAAAACACCATAATCCCAGAAGTGGTTAAATAGGATCTCAACAGGAAACTACACAGGTGAGACCTGAGGGGCCGGGCAGATCTCAAGCAATCATGGCTGCCTGAACTGAGAAAGCTCCTTCAGGGGCCAACAGAGACCTTTACTCTTTGTGTCATGAGTGCCAGTAAGAGGATACTCAAAGTGTGGCCTGCTTTGGGTCAAGGAGGAGCCCGAGCCCATCCTCAGAGCCTCTCTTTCCCTCCCTACCCCACATTTATGCCAGGTCCCGGGCCTCTCCAGATCTCACTGACTCTGAAACAACTTCATGGAGTAGGACTCTGCTTTATGGACAAGGACACTGAGGCTGAAGCATTCTCTAAGGAGCATCATCAGGAGGTCTGAGTGTGAGCCTAGTTAATGTCTTCAGAGCCTAAAATCTTCATCACCAGGTCAGCATTTCCTAATGTGGTCACTACAGTCCACTATTACAATTTTCACCGCTTCTGTTACTACCTGTATTATTATTTACTCAGTATTTTCTTGGACTGTTGTAAAAGGAGAACCAGAATCATCTACCACAAACAGAAGGATAAAGAGCGCATGCCTGGCCGATTCTAAGTCCTACAGCAGAAGGATTTTGAAATAACTCCAATCTCTTGCTGGGCTGGCCTGAGGAGCATCTGTCTGGCTATCTGTCTGGGCTGTAAGACCTGTATGACTGGATTTGGAAGTCAACAGTGGCCACAGGTATGTTAGTAAATGTTTTAAAAATGAGTTGTTTAAAAATATATATATATATGTAACACACACATGCACATATATACATATAACATATATGACAGGTTGTACTGATATAAAAAACTATCGACTAATTTAAAAATTATGAGAATATATGCGATTATTTATTGTAAATTTCACACAGCCAATTGGTTTCCTCAGAATATTTTTATTGCTTTTTGCTGAACTGATACATCTGTAACCTACTTGTGGCTGAAATTGACAAATGAGTGTAGTTGTGACATAAATGTTGGTTGATAAGATTAAAATGAAGCAACTCTAACTTCAGATGTTGTTAGAATTCCTGGTTTATCAGTTTCAATGACACATCATTTTTACCAAATTAGGTAACAATTTTTGTCTACTGGGAAGCTATTTCTTCGGTTGTTTTTTGTTGTTGTTTTATTTGCAATGTACGATTCGAAGCCAGACAAACTTTAACATTAAAACACCATTAACATTTCTCCTTCATTTTTTGAAGTCTAGACAGTATGACCAACAACAAAAAGTGAGAAATCAAACCACAATTCATAGCATTTGCCTTTTTCTATGATTTAAATCCTATTCCCATGGTTTATATCCAGTTGTCATGTCAGATCCCTGAATACAGACTGAGAAGGTATCAACATAAACACATCTTCTACAGTATTTTTAACATCCAGATACAATAGATGTGAATAATTCTAAGAGCCTAGACAATAGCAAAACATACCAACATCATTGGGAAGCGGTGACTCTTTATTACCTTTGTTTTCTTATTATAAATTTTCATCATTTAATTTTCAGTAATAGCTGCTTATCAGCTGGCTCTCAAGATTCCTGTAAATTTGACTGATATTCGTATGCACCAGCTCTGGGACACCACTGATTATAGCTTTATCTTCAAACCACTCAAGCTGCATGTGTGTTCCTCACGGAGCGGACACCCAGAATAAGTTCTGCTCCTCTTAGATGCACACATGTCATTGCTTTGCTTCAAGAAAGTACACCATTTATGTCTTCTCTTCCTCCCCTGAACTCGTCTTCTCCTTCTTTCCTTCATAACGATTGTTCTTGGGCATTCCTTGAAAATATCATGCTTGCCCACCCCAGGACACTTGCACTTGCTATTTCACCCGATTAGAATGCCTTTTCTCCCAAATGTTTACACAGTTCATTCTCTTACCTTCTTCGTGTCTTTACCTAGATGTCACCTTCTCCCTGAGACCTGCCCACCCTATTTATAGCTGCAGCTGTTTCCCTCTGTTCCCTGACTGACCATCCTTCCCTGCTTTATTTTTCTCCATAGCATTATCTTGGATGTATTACATGGTATAAAATCTTTTCATATATGTATTTATTACCATTTCCCTCTATGTGAATATAAGCTACACAAAAGCTTGACTTTTTAGTATGTTTTGTGGAATCTTCTATGAACAGAATAGTGCTCAGAATAGGTGATATTAAGTAGTGAATTCCAGTAAATATATACTGAATAAATCAAAGAGTAAATGGATGTTGCTTCAAGTCTTGAAGGCACTAAGGTACTAGTGTCAGATTTATTTACATATATTTAGTAGCTTTAATGAAATATAATTCATATTCTACACAACTGACCCATTTGAAACATACAAATCAATGGTTTTTAGTATATTCCAAGATGTGCAATCATCACTAATATAAAAATCAGAACTTTTTCTAGTTTTTTATTTTCTTTTATTCAAAAAAACAAAAACAAATTTATTATTGTTGTTGCTTTTAAAAACTGTGGAACAATTGTGTTCTAAATTTGTTTTTTAAGAACAATTTCATTTCTCTGAAAGAACCCCCTGCCCGTCACCAGTCACTCTCAGAACCTCTCCATCCTCCCAGTACCTCGGCAAACACTGATTTACTTCTCATCTCTGAAGAGCTGCTTATTCCATACAGTTCATGTAAATGCAACGATATGTGGCATTTTGTACCTGGCTTCTTTCACTTGGCATAATGTATGGTAGTGTACATCAATATTGCATTTCTTTTTACTGATGAATGATATTTCATTATATGTACACATCACATTTTATTTATTCATTCCATAGTTGATAGAAATTTGGATGGTTCTACTGTTTAACTAAAATGACTATAAATAATGCTAAGGGCTGGAGATTTAGCAGCAGCATACGCTCTGCCTGGCAAGCGTGAGGTTGTGAGTTCAATCCCTGGTACCTAAAAAAAAATCTATATAAATAATGCTAATAAGGTCATTCACATACAAGTTTTTGCATGGTCATATTTTTATCTCTTGGGTGTATCTCTAGCAGTAGCATTTCTGGGTAACATGACAACTCTGTTTAACATTTTGTGGAGAATGTTAAGACTTAGCCTCACTTTCTCCATATGTTAACGGCAATAAAAATACCTACATCAGAGTTTCATGAGCTGTTGTGCTCCTAGGCTCCAGGAAGCCAGGCCTAACTACATGGTAAAGGAAATTGCAATCCACAGCTTGCTCCTCACTTGATGTCACCATGTCAGAGATGGAGTCAGAAATTCCTGCTGTGCTTGGAGCTTGTCTCCCAGGTGTTGGGTAGACTTCAAGGATATTTCATCCAGGCTTTACTAGAGCTTAGAGTAACACCTCAGCCTACTGTGGAGTAAACCTCTCTAATGCCTGGAATACTCTGGGCTGAGTTATGTCCAGAGTCTTTCTCCTGGTAGGCCTGGGCGTGCAGAGGCTCCATCACCAGGGCCTTCTCAGCATCCTCTGATTCAACCCTTGTTTCTAGGTTTGTTTTCATCATGGCTGCTTCCCAGCCATCTTAATCATACAAATCAATAATAGACCTTGAAAACGCTTCTCTTTATAAAAACTTTGCCCCAGTATTATGACTTCTTTCTCTCACAGTATTAATTTCTTCCCTTCTTTGGATCATGTACAAGGCCATAATACCATGCTCCAGGGCCTTGCAATTTAAAAATAAAATTCTGCCCTTGACTACTGTTCCTTGTAGCTACTGTGTCATTTTTCTGCCCCCGTCCCCCCAGCCTAACATGTGGAAAGTGCGGCAATGGTTCCTTCCCCCTCTGCCCACGCTCCATCCCCTCTCCCCCAGCCGGTTCTCCAGGTTCATCCCTGCATTCCACTGTGACTGCGCACCAATTCACCGTGACCTTGATGGTCTTCACAGCGCGTGCAGCAGCTGCCTCCTGGGGGTCAGTGATGTCACATTCTCTAGGATTTTGCTAACCCCTAGGGCACTCTTGATCACTCTGTCTCTTTACATGACCTCAAAAAGGTTGTCAGTCGGAGGACACGGACCTGAGTCCCACTGTCACCTCTGTTGTATTACCCCCCTACCACCCCAATCTTATTCCACCTTACACCTTGAAGACCTCTTATACGGTGGTGGCCCCACACTGGTGTCTCCACCCTGGCCTCTCCTTGGAATTCCACTGTCCTATAAACAAGCCTCGGGTTGGTGCCTTCAGCCTGGTGTCTTTCTGCATTTCTTTCCTAAGCTCACTTCTCCATTCTGCTTCACCCAATAAATGGAGTCGCTTGGTCTCTCAAAGTTGAACCTATAGATGCTCATCCTCAATTCTTCTGTCTTATTCCTTCTCACCTACCCAGTCCTTCCACAGCCCCTATCATTTGTACCTTTAGAGTGGGCCAAGTCTGCCCATTTAGTTTTTTTTTTTTTTACTTCTGTGACTTTTGTTCATTTGAATAAATGTGGTGGATTTTGAAATGCTTCCGTTCTTACCCTCTGCAGTGATTTGTCTCCCTTGGGCAGCTAGAGCTCATTTTTAAATGCTAAATAAGACCATTTATGCTCCTCTTTTTTCCTTTTGGTACCCAGAATTGAACTCACGACCTCGTGCTTGCCAGGCAGGTGCTTATGCCGCTGGACTAAATCCCCAGCCCCCATGTGCATTTCTTATCTCCTCCGGTCTCCTATGCTCATTTCCAGCACCTCACTCTCATGCACTCTGCATAGCATTTCCTGCTCTCTGATAATTTCTTGTTTACTTGCTTGTTTATTGTTTACCTTCTTTCCTTGAGTGTTCAGTCCATGGAAACAGATGCTTGCTTTGTTTACTATGTTATGCCCAGGGCATTATGTAGCTGAACATGCAGTCAGTGCTTCCAGGTATTAGATTTGATTCTCCCTGACTTACACAGCAGGAATGAATTAGCTGTGCACTGTGGATGCTGGGAGGAACCTTGATACTTCTGGATCAGAAACAAAGAACTTTATAATTCCAACACTTTGGGAGGCTGAAGCAGGAAGATTTTAAGTTCAAGCTGCACCTGGGCCATTTAATGACTGGTGAGACCCTATCTCAAAGTAAAAATTTAGAAAAGAGCCATAGAATCTTACATAGCAACAAGCCAGAGCATCGGCACATTTGCGACAGGTTTCCCTTGCCCAAGCCTTGCACGAGACGGGACACTGCACACGTGGTAAGTTAATGCTGTAGGTGAAGGACATTGAGATTGGAGAATCCAGAACTTTTACAGTAAGCAATAAACCAGCCTTCCCTGTGCTCCAAGGGAGACATCTCCCTATCCCTCCAGTTGCTTGCAATGAACCCTGAGCAATGGTTAGGGTAAAGAGTGGTTGGGCTTGTATCCTTGACATACCTTAGGATATCACAGAAGCAGGAGTTTCCACAGATCATTAGTCTGAAAGAGTTGTGCAGTGGATATGTGTTGGGTGAATAAGTGAAAAAACATTGTGTATAGGCCAGGTACCAGGTATTGATGCTGGGTTAAATCTCCAGGCCTCAAAACAAACCAACCAACCTCTGTCTGCGTGCCTGTCTGTGACTCCTCATTACTGGCAACACTAAAGAGGTCTATCTTTTCTGTAGAGTAAGTGAGATACATCCTCTGCTGGCAGGCTGGAGCCCGCCCCCACCCCACCCCACTCCCACAGCTGTGGCCATGTCTGCCTCTTCAGATTCTGTCCCGTTCCATCACTGCATCGTGTGGTGAGATGCCCCAT